CGGGCCCCTGGCAGAATATCAGCATCACCACATGCCTCGACGCAGCCACCAACGACGATATTAGGGAAATGCGGTAGGTATGGATGAGGGGGACGAACCGAGGGACCCTGCGCCCTTGCCTGCCGTATACCAGGGCCCGCGTCGTTGGACGATTTGAACGCCTGACGCTTTGCTTTTCTGCTGAGGGGTCTTGGGATGTGCCTGGGTTTGGAGATCGGATGTCTAAGGTTTTGGAGGAGCAAGCGCGGGATATGTCGGCAGATCTAGCCATTTGAGCGCGGTCGAGGAATACCGGTCTGGATTAGTGTTTGTCTGTACCCTTTCCGAGACGACGGGCCGTTGGGGGCTTGGCTTTTGGTGGTGAACTTTGGAAGTCTGTGGGAGCAAAAGGTTTAAAATTAATGGATGGGCATAGGCGGGGAACGGCAATTCGATGGTCATGGTGAGGTTGTTGTTGTTAAGTTTGGTGTTCATTGGATAGAAGGAGTGCCTGGTATCACATTTACCTTTATGATAGGCGCGAGACTTTTGCGTGACTTGACTTTTGAGATCGTGGTGTTCGACATGAGTTCCCGTTCCTTAGTTATCAGGAATCCCAAGTAAGTAACTTGTTAGCTGTAAAGATATAGAAGATATAGTCTTCTTCAGTAGGCTCAAAGTGATTGTTTCTAGCGGGAGACTTCATAGAATTCATAGTCATGGATACATGGATGTAGATATGTAGTGTATTTGCTGCCGAGATACTATGCGGCAGGCCATTTTCGTCTCACTACCTTACACAAAGTCAATTTTCTTCCGTGCAGCCTTTTACCCGACAACGGTTGTCGAGAATGGTCTACCGCCGCGTTCCGAAATTCCTCTCCTCTATTCATGTTCGAGACTGAAATGTATACACCACCAGCTCCATCGACATCCACGCTGTTTTGAGCGGGTAGACGAGTATGTGGATGCCAAATACCAGCTGATGGAGACCGGCATTGGGGCTTGATCTCGGGTATTTCCTGGTGATAGTGGACAGTCCCATCCTTACTGGCCGGATGTGCGGTTTTGAGTAAGGTAGTAGGGTCAGTGTAAGCAGGTGCCTTGCGGATTTGGTTCTGTGTGTAGTACGTGATATCTCGGGATCACATGGGGCATCGATTTCGCATTTCCAGGTACTTTCCCGGGAAGAGCCTTACAATGGATGGCTGGTGGGACGCTGAATGTTGTTGGTGTATTTGGCACTGCCCTTATGAGATCCGAATCGTTGTTGTTCTTGTATTTCGTTTGGTACCAGCCAAGTTACGCAGGATGGGTGACTCGAGAGGGAGTAGGTTCTTGGGATGTGGGACTTATATCGAAGGACTTAAGTAGATGATCTTTTGAAACAGGAAGGAGGGGAGACTTGAGGCTGTATAAATACTGAACAGAGAGTGTCTGTTAGAAGTGCAGAGATTGTTACACGGGTTGTGTGTGCGTATATCGCTGAGAGCATGAGGAGGGGCGGCGAGATGGCATGAGTGTTTTGTCATCATAGTTGAGTATTTGACTCTCCTTTCTGGAAAGTGGGAATCTGAACTATCAGGTGTCATGAGTGTCTAGACTCTCAGAGACTGTATGACCTACAATCCTTGGGAAACCTGACTTCTCGGTCTGCAGACAAATGAGATTAAAGCCAGAGAGTGGTGAGAGATGTGGCTCTTGAGCCGTCTATTTCGAGCGGCTTCAACGTGTTCATCCACGAGCCTATGATTCCTTACCCTACCTATACCCTGTGCCCTATAAGCTGCGTGATCTGTAGATATGGCGAGCTGATCCTCTGACTGTGCTGGCAACATGGGTCTGGCCACTCAAGATAACCAGAGCATATTTATCGACGATTCCTACGTCGAGTCTCGTCTGAACACATGGTCGAATGCTAGTTATCGCCGATTGTTAGTCAATTATTCTCACTGAGCTCCCTTCGCTGCAACATCTTGCCTGATTGGCTAATCCGTACATTCCATGTCTGCAGACTGGTTTCCCGCTTTCAGGCTCTGGTACATTGTCAGCGACATCAGGCTCCTCTCTCACGATATCAGCCTCATCACCTTCTTGTCAGGAGTCAGACTAGAAAGTGCGAAATAGTTTCTCAGAGCCAGTGAAACTACATGAAGGAACTGCCTAGCTAATATTGACGAGGCGAAATCTACTGAAACTGGTCTTTAAGGTAGGGTTGATGTGGTTAATTACTGTGAGGCATGATCTACTTTGATGCCAGAGAAAGGGGAGCTCGGCAGTGAAATACCTTGAGAACAGTGTCTGAGGATAAATATGAGGATCGTGTGTTCTTCGTATTCTCAAGGTCAGGACGGCCGCTCCATCTATCAAGCTAGTCCGGCACTTTTCTTTTGCGAATCAAGTTAAATGGGCGGAACTTTCCTTGCGATGATGTCAAACTCGGTCATCTGTTTTGGGAAGATGGCGCTGATTCCTACTATTGGAAATCGAACTTCATCCCTCTTCTGCGTCTGCGAAATGGTTGTATCTTCCATTATGCGACTGTCTGTGCGACGCCAGTTTCCAAGCGGTTGTAGTGAAACTCGTAATGCTTCTCGAACAACACAGAGATCACATGGTGTTGCCCTTTGTATGCGGGTGGTATGAGACCAAGAGCTCATCTATCTTACAGTCAAATTAGCAAGCAATCTTGATTGAGGGTCATTCGACACAATAATCGGGCTATTGATCTTGCTCGATCGTAGTAGCCTACAGTTCGTAAGTTTTGGGTGTATATCTACTACCGTTCCCACGACCAGCTTTCCCGTCGTCCATAAGATGACAAATGAAAGCATCATGCTCTACAAAAGCTCTTGGGGAGTTGCTTCCGGGCTGAACGATACATGAACGGTTTTCAGCGCACAATAAACAAGAAGGGGCTCCTGCTGTGCCAATGTTTGTATGTCTACAAGTTTCATTTGTAATGGGCATGGAGTAGACGACTAAGTTGCGATATTACAATGAGCATAAAGCTCTGTTGAAGTTCCCATTCTTTTATCTTCACAGTGAGAGAAGCACCCGTTGCGCACCAAGTCGAAAGTCCTCATTTCTTCATTGAAGTCGGCAGAAGAGGGTCTCCGAACCGGTTCCGGGTACGGAGGCGGGAGTGGCCAAACCCGGAACCGGTCCCCATCTCTCCGTCCCCGCTGTCCGCCCCATCCCTTTCTGCCGTTCACATCGACCCCGCAACGGCACTGGTACTGAGCAACCGAAAACGCGGTCCGAAACCCACCAGCGGAACTTCCGAAACCTTTCTTGCCCGGCCGTTCCTCCGAAAAGAAAAAACTTACCGTATCCGGACATCGTCAGTGGTGGCTCATCGGACACGTGAGCACAACTGTTCTTGCCACTTTGATAAAGTTTTGCAGCCACGAGGTGGCCCAGACAGCCAGAGACAAGAAAGAGAAACAAAAGGACCCCAAGGAGGATCTAGGGAAAAGAAAACAAGGATGGGGGGGAAAAAAGAGAAGAGGATGGAGAACGAAAATGTTGTCTGATATGCTGAAAACAGACAGGATGCCTTCAGCACACCACGTCATCGGAAGGCCCGAATAGTAGCACACGCACACATCCACGCACCCACCCACACAAGCACACTTGCCGAGAGATCGGACGGTTACACAAGGCCCGAGTGGGGGAGTTTTCGGGTGATGAGAAACCAGTGATGGAGAGTAGGTAGAAGCGCACAAAAAAGAAGGGGTGGCTGCTACCCTTCTGCTTCGATATTTCTTCGTATGGTGGGAAAAGCCTTTTTTTCTTCTTCTTCTTGGGAGTGCAAAACGCCTTGCCGCCTTTGTCACACCAACACACTTCTGCACACAGGATATATAGGGACCCATGGGAGAGGAGAGGGCTTGGAGCTTGAGGTCTGAGGCTTGAGGCGTAAGGCTTGGGGGGGACATTCGGAAGCGACAACTGCCGCAGCCTCCCATTTCGTGGTCACGGTACCATAGTTTATCCTGAAGCTTTGCCTGCCGGGCACCACCCGGGCTGAAAGCCCGCAAGATCAAGACAGTTGAGGGATGCTGATGCCGCTCTGTCACTGAGCCCGAGGATTCTCCGTCTGAGCAGCTTTTCCCGATCCCGTCAAAGGCGCTGATTGTACCGGTAGTGGACAGGATAGACAACGACTAACCGGACATTTTGATGAACCAAGCTTGCCAAGGTCCCGAAAAAAGAGAACAAGATTACGCCGCGCGATCTGAGTCCAAGATCGACACCACGCTCCGGGAAAACTTTGGCAAGAGTAGCCGGCCGCAGCGCTTGGTTTGGCTGGGTATACGCGGAACCGCCGGTTAGAGGGGAGGGGGAGTGTATATAGAAACAAAACAAGAAAACCCTAGGAAATATCAAAGACTGAGATTTTCTTCAGAGTTGATCAGAGACAACTAACGAGAACAAAAAAGAAATACCGACAGGGTTATTGCAATGCTAACAAACACGAGGTGGAGGGACGGGGGAGGCGAAGACATGAAAACGTCGTCCTTCTCGGCCGGTAGCAAACTCGTTGTCAACGTCGGTCTCAGCAAAACCCCACCACCCTCACCCTCACGGAGCAGACTCCAGCTGACAAGTGCTGATCACCACCATAAAGTCCCTTTTGCAGCGATGTCCAAGAGCGTCATGTGTATAGCCGTCAAAGAGACGGAGATGCGGGAAGATTTCAACAAGTCCCCCTCCCTCTTGTGGGCGTTCTCCATCGTATGTTAAGGCGGGTCCCGCACCAAACCCCAACCCCACGTTTGCGGACGTAAAGATGCTTTACCCTAAACAAGGTGATTCTTCCCTTGTGCCCGTCTCGGCGGGGCGCGGAATGAAGAGCGGATAGGGCGGTCATTGACAAAGTTGTGGCTGTTCTGTCAAACTCGTGGCCTGGCGAGATTGAGTTTTTTGGACTGGGATGGAATGCAATCACTCCTTCTTCCTCCAGGCGCGCGGCTCACGAGGTATGAAGAGCACAGACATAATCTTTGCAATCATTTGGTTAAAAAATAGTCTTTGATAGTCATGGACAGTAAATCTGTTCTCTCTGTATTGTAAAGGGAAATCATTAAACTACATAAGTCATGACGAGGGCAAAGAGCCAAAGTTGTATAGCGAACAAGATGTCCTCCAAGTGCAGAGGACAAAGGAGTGTTGAAGAACAGAAGAACAACAAGGCAAACGGCCCGCAGCGATCGCTAACCCCCCCCAATAAAGCGCGTGATCATGGAATGAGCAAGGCATACAGAGTGCTGCATTCGTTGAGAAAAGGCGGCCAGGTGGAAGAGAAGAAAGAAATAAGAGTCATCATTCGTTAAACAAGCACGAGGCCAAGACGTGGGCGTTAGACCTTTCCTGCAAGGTAGAGGATGTTCTCTTTGACTGCATCCGTCAAGTCCCCTTGTCCCGTGTAGACATAGGTGACTGTTTGGGACCACACTTCGGGATACGGTAGTGGCAACTCGACAACGTCGCCAGCCTGGACGGTACCAGAGACGATGATAGCCGCCAACACCGGGAGTGAGGACCGGGCGTATTGGAGATCTGTGGGTGGGTTGGGTGTTAGCCTTGATTTTCCTGCCTTGTATTCGGGTAGGAGTGAGCCGGCCTTGGAGGCTATGGCCCAAAAGGTTCAAGTCCGCAAACGTCAGAAGGGATAAACTTAGGCAAGACATTACTTACGGATTGGCATAGTGTCGGCGCCACGCGATAAGGCCGCGCGAGGATCTCCAGATTTTAGCCCGCGGCTGTAAGGGAGCGTGCTGTGAATTGCACTGCTCGACCGTCTTCGTGCCGCGCTCGGTCGAGGAGATGAGACCTTTGGCAGCGGTGAAGTGGCCTGAGTATGTAGAGATGGCCGCCGTCTTTGATCCGCGGGAGTAGGGCTTGGCAACGGGTCCGCGATAGTGGAGCGTAATTGCTCAATGTCGAAAGTGTGAGTGATGAGCATCGGTTTGCGTTCCACAGCTCGAGGACGAACTCGAAACTTCATCTGACGCTGGTGAGGTGGGAAAGTCGGCGTGGACGGCATTCGTGGGGGTGAAGAACCTCCAGCAGATTGATCCGAGTTGGTGCTCGCATTAGAGCTTCGACGATTGAGAGACATAGCTTGAACAAAGACGTCGGAGGTTTTGGCATCACCAAGATACACATGACCCCATGCTCGCAGCTGCTCAAGTTGAACGCGCTTCTCAGCCTCCCTGGACCTGGCGACGTATCCAGGTCCAGCCACAGACTGTCGTCGTTGTGCCTCTTCACCCAGACCGGCGAGAAGCATCGATCGAGTTTCCGCTGCGAGAGTCTGCCTTCGGACACTGCTAGCCATGGGTGGTGAGACTGGAGTTGCTGATGGCGGCGGACCTGGCCGGCGAGGGCTTATAGGCGCGGCCGAATAACGTCTACCGTCGCTTGCTGAGTGCTCTGCGAGAGGAGAAAGCGGACTCGGCCGGTTTGCTGACTTGGGCGGGCTAAGATCACCAGAACCTGGAGCTTGTCGGAGTCTGGAGCCGAGGCGGTCGACCATGGCGCGCTCATGCTGTCTCATTGAGCCATCGTTGGAAGGAAATACCGGAGTAGGCAGGCTTTTGGGTGAACGATCGGATGGGCTGTAATACGAGCTAGGAGCAGTAGGTCTGCTTGAAGTCGAGGAACGAGGGAATCCTCCTTGATTATATGAAGGTGTCCATAGTGGGTGAAGGCTTGCCCGGGGGTGGCTCTCGATTGGGGTAGCCATGGCGATTTAGGATAGTGATAGAGGAGAATACCTTGTAAGATATAGCAAATGATGACTGAAGAAGGAAGTGTTCAAGTCAGGGTTTCTGAGTAACAATGAATGGGCCCAAAGATCGGAATGTGCAACCGAGATGATGGGATGGCGGTGATGAGAGTCAAGAGTATGCAGCCCTGTAGGGATTTGATCAAGGGAGAAGAAGTTCTCTTATGTCTGGGGTGGATGGAGGGACGAAGAGGGTTAATTAATATCTTTGCGGAAGACCTTGTGAGCCACCTCAGTCTGTAAGTCTTGGACTTCTCGCCCACCAGTTTCTTTAGGAGCCAGACGAGAGAAAGGGCACTTGCAGCAACTGCCGGGATCAGAAAATGAAAGGACTGGCAGGTACGGTAGGTCTCTGTCTCTGTCAAAGAAGACAAGAAAGACAGGCAAGGTGCAAAAAAGAAGAGACTGACAGACTGTCACTGACAGAGAAAGGGTGTGCAAAGAAGGCGACTGCAATCTTTGCTTTGGGCCCTGCAAGCCTAGGTGGGAGTGTAATGAGGAATGCGGTCGTCAAGCATGGAGTGACTGACAATGAGCGGTTGCGGCCAACAGCCATGCCCATGTCCCTCATTGCATATGAGAACAAAGGAGATGAGCTAGCAGGCGTGTGGGTTGGGTTGTCGGAAGCAAACCCATGGGTCATGGCAGGCTTGAAGTTGAACGTCTGCAGATGGACACAGAGGAGAACAAAGGAATGTGGCTTGTCTGGGCCTTGATTCGTCATGTTTCTGGCGATATCATTGGCTTACTATGCATCTTCCTTTCCTGCCACCTTGAGGCCTGGGGGTGTACTGCGTGGGTTGTTGGCTTCGACGCATAGAAGTAGTTTCTGTTGCTCTGCGCGCTTCGCATTCTCTCTTGGTAGACAGCCAGATCGAGGACTTTCAGTCCGGGGGTTGATACTTGGTGGCAGCCAGAGCAGCAGCAAGAAGACTGCAACCAACAGTTGAAAGCTGGAGGGGGGTGTGGTGACTGGGTTGGGACTTGCACTTGCATTTCCACTTCCACTCGCACTCGCACCAAACGAACTTGGCGTAGCTGCATCTGTCCATGTAGCTGTAAATAAGTTTTCAGGACTACCTACACGAATGTGTAGGTTGTGAAGCTATAGTCCTGTCTTCAGACCAAAGGGTACCCATCTTTTCCATGTAGAGCTGGGCTTGGGATGAATGCCGCAGTGAGGCCGGGGGCGAAGCTGCAAAAGTGTGGAGTTGGAACATCAACGGCGTCGGTATGTCTTGGAAGTTTGGCACGGCGGAAGATGGTTGCGGCCGTGATGGCGAAAAGTGGGAAACGGTGGAACAAGACGATGACAGGCAGCAATTGGGATCTCAGATCTCGATTTGTGATGGGTTGGAAAGACTGGAAAGGTGGAGGGGGGGGGGGGGGCAGGCGAAGAATGGAGCTGACAAACGGATGAAGAGGTGTCAGTCTGGCAGAGACAAGAGATTCGGGTGTTTGTTTGGTTGATTTGCGCGGATGGATGGGATGGTTGGATGGACGGATGCGTGGAATGCGTCGTGTGTGTGGGAGACATGGAGGGATGAGACAACAACAGGATGATCAGCAACGACAACAACAAAAACGACAACGACGATAGGAGTAGGTAGTGAAAGAAAACCTAAGAAAGATGCCTCGGAGGAAGCTCCTGGAATGCCCCATGTTTGTGACGTGTCTGCCTTCGGTTGAGCTGTGCCTTTCCAAAGCTTGCCCCGTCCCCCCGAGCTTTCCTTTGACCGCGGAAGGCACGGAGACAACAGGAGGATTTCTGCGTCAGGTATGCCGTAAGCCTCTTCCTTCCTCTCCGTGCCTCCGAAGCTATCGGATCAGGACCCACGCGGTGCTACGGAAGGAGCTGTTCATTGGCTCTGCTCTTCTACTCAAAATTCTTACATAATCACTCTGGCAATGTAGGTACGTATCTCGTCTGGGACACTCAAGGTACCTTACCTTAGACACTGGAAGGAGCTTGGACCACCTGCACCAAGCTGCTGCTGCTTCTGCTCCTTCTGGCCAGACTTCGTCTCGTCTTTTTCCCCAGTGGTGGAGAGGACAGAAAGAACGTCGAGGAAAGGTTGACGTTGCAATTACCGGTAAAAAAACCACATCGCCAAAAGAGTAACAACGAACAGCTTGTTCTTTTCGCTGAACCGGGCAAAAGCAATGCTCGCTGTCGTCAAAACCATTCCCTTCTCTTTGGACATGCATTGAACATCTCCCACATTCCTTGTTTCTCCCAGAAGCCAAAGAAACCAAACTCTCTTTCGACCCATCGCAAACATGTCCGACGCTACGGCCGCGAGCTACAAGAAGCTCAAGGAAGACTTTGTCTCCAATCTCTCTGGTGGCTCCGCCTCCGAAGTCAACTATGTGACTGCAGCTGCTCCCGTGCGTAACTATCTTCTTTGAACAGAAACCCGGATCTGCCCTTCTGATCTCCTGATCCCCTGTTGCTGCTGCTGCCCCCTTCACGTCCCACGCGCCCCCGCGCAGCGCATGCATCGAGACAAAGCAAAGTGCTGACATCCGCATTCCTTTCCAGGTCGCCGTCCTGCTGTGGTCTGTACTCCAATCACGCCAATCCTTCTTCAAACCCTACACGCTGTTGGGAGCTGCCGCCGATTTCCTCCTCAACGTCACCGCCATCCTCCTCTCCACGACTCTCTACGCCTCCTCCCCCTTGCTACTTTGCGCCCTCCTCCTCGGCCCCGCCGTCCTCATCTACACCCTGCCTCCCAACTTCGGCGCCAGTCGCAAGAAGCCCGCTATACCACCCAATGCGAAGCCCAAGGCCGGCTCCGGCGCGGAGCCGCTCTCCGCTCTTCCCGTGAAGCCTTTCCTGACACACTACCGGGGTAGCATGCTGGTCGTCACTTGCATCGCCATCCTCGCCGTCGACTTCCGCCTCTTTCCGCGCCGCTTCGCCAAGGTCGAGACATGGGGAACATCGCTGATGGACATGGGCGTCGGGTCCTTCGTCTTCAGCGCCGGTGTTGTTGCTGCTCGGCCCGTCTTGAAAGAGCGCGCCGAAGGTCGATCGATACCTCTGACGACACGTCTGCTGCAGTCGATGCGCCACTCCTTACCGCTACTCGTCCTCGGCGTCATCCGCTTGCTCAGTGTCAAGGGTCTCGATTACGCCGAACATGTCACCGAGTATGGCGTTCACTGGAACTTCTTCTTCACGCTGGGTTTCCTGCCGCCGTTTGTTGCCCTCTTCCAGTCCGCGCTCAAGGTTGTGCCTAGCTACGCCGCTCTGGCAATCATCCTGAGTGTGCTGTATCAGGTGGCTCTGGAGAGCACCGACCTCAAGGCTTACATCCTGACCGCACCGAGGACCGACCTGTTCTCAAAGAACCGAGAGGGTATCTTCAGCTTCTTCGGCTACCTGGCCATCTTCCTTGCGGGACAAGATACAGGAATGTACGTCTTGCCTAGGAGTCTCAACACCAAAAGCGATTCCACCCCTGCTACTCAGCGCAAGACGCTTCTCGTGATGATGGCCATTTGGTCTGCTGTGTGGACAGGGCTATACTTTTTGACCACCAGCAACAGCTACGGCGACGGTCTGAACGTTTCACGTCGCCTCGCAAACCTGCCCTATGTCCTGTGGACAGCGGCGTTCAACTCGACACAACTTCTAGCCTATGCCCTAGTGGACACTTTCTGTTTCCCGTCCTTCTACAATGCGACTGACGCGAAGACCGAGAAGGAGGCGTACCATACAGCGACCAGCAGGGTATTCCGCGCCTACAATCGCAACGGCCTATTCTTGTTCCTCATCGCAAACGTCTTGACAGGACTGGTCAACATGACGGTGCCGACACTGAATGTTGGACCCATGGCAACGATGGGCATCTTGGTTGCGTACAGTGGAGCAGTCACCGCTATCGCTCTCGGACTGGACGAATACAATATCTCCATCAAACTATAGATGATGTCGAAATAAAAATTTGAGTTACACGACCCTAAACATCTCACCCACCATGTGATACTGGCTCAGAAAGCCGGCTAGACAATGTCTCATCGAGGCACTACATCAACGCCTGTTCGGACCCCGCATGTTGTTCGAGGATGGCCAAGCCGCGAAGCATCCGATAAACCTCCATGGAGACAGGCGGTCGCTGCTGACAAGAGACTTAGGAGCCCGACAAACCCGGAGGATACGGGCCATGAAGACGGAGCCACCGGAAAACCGCAGACAGTCAGCTGAGTGATTAAAGTCTGGCATCAAAGAAGTTCGCAAATGGACCTCTCCCCCGAGGCTGATGAATTGGACAAATCATGCTACATTCTGGTGGTACGACAGCAAAAATCTCACTGCCAGCAAGAAAAGCGAAAGCCATCACCGCGGCGTGGACAAAGCTTCAAAGTTCTCGCAGCTTGGCAACTGCAGTCTGGACAAAGCTTTTTTTTTTTGCAAGACCCTCGGTTGGGTGTGACTTTGGTATTGCTCCTCGAATGAGTTGGCCAGGCATGCGGATCCCTTGCATTGACGGGTTTGTCCCTCGATCCACACCGCCGGGTTTTTCTTTGGAAGTCTTCTAGAATACTCGGTGAGCTCAGACTGGAAGCCACTGGGACGAGAACAGGGCTGGCTATGGGCAAGGCGAGGCGGGAGGCAAACAGAAAAAATCCAACAACAACAAAATGGGTTACCAAAAACTTGGTCCAAGTCACCGGTTGGTTGGTTCGAGATCGCCGGGAACCCCGTTTGGACGTAATTCCGCATACCGACCAACACCACTTTCGCATAGTCGAACGCGTGGACTTTTCTCTCCCCTCTCTCGAATGTGGGTTCCTTCCCGCTTCCCTCTTCTGCCGAGTTATTACCTACGGACCCTACGGATACGTACGCTGGTGCGGTCCTGCGGAACACACATTTGGGTCGGCACACGAAAGATCACCGGGCAGGAATCCGATGTCCGGATACGGGTGGTTCGTCAACGTGTTTGCTCGGACCGGCCGGGGTCGTCCCTGTTGGCCTTTGGGGGGTTAATCATGGATTGGGCTGCATGGCCCAAGTTGAAGTTGGGTAATGGGTTATTTGAAGATGGGGAATTGGGACTGATACGGGGTTATGTGAGATTAAATAAAGACGCGTCGCGCCTTTTTCGCGAATTTCCCGAGCCTTTGATGAGTGGGCTCGTCTACTGTTGGTCCGTGGAGTCGTCGCTGGAGGTCGTCCACGATGTCGCCGTAATCATCATCTTCGTTGCTCGCTGCTCAAAGAGACTTATCCTTCGCCGTCATGAATTCGGTTTGACGACAGTTGTGGTGATTGTATTCGCTATAGATGGGAGGCTACGTTCGCCTGGTATTCGATTGATATAGCGGACGATAGTCCGCCAGGGCTTTCCATCGTCCACGAAAACCCCAATATGATGTCACTGGACAACACATCCACCGTGGGTAGTAATGGCCCAAGTGCCGAGTCTGGCTGGGCTGTCCCGGGCTGATCTTCTTGATGGGGCAGCTCGCTTGCTCCAGAACCGGGGAAGACGAATGGCAATTTGGCTTAATTGATTGATGTATGATCATGGGGGGGCCATTCGGAAAGACCTGACCGAGAGGGTCTTTGGGCAGTCAAACTTCGAAAGACAGAAAGTTGGCCGATATTTGACAAGCCCCTCCTCATCGGCACGTGCATTTTTCAGGATGCGAAAGTGCTCTTGGGAACGCAAATCTTAAAGGCGCCTAGTGACATGACTTGCGGCCAGCCCTGAATCCACTCAATTGGCAAGTCGAGCCGGGGCACTTTGAGCTGGCTTAGGACTTCAAAAGTTCAGCCTGCTCATGACGGACAGGTTGTATTTGGGCTGACGCAGGCAGACCCCGGTCAAACGCCGTGCGCCTCATCTCCGATGTTAATGCTGGCTAGATGGTGGACACGACCTTGGTCGTTTTTGCAAGTTGGTTATGAGCAGACAAACCATTGCCGCCTTCATAAGGGCGTAGCAAACGACATTCGCCTTAAATGTCGATTTGCCCCTACTCAGAGAACATGGTCAATGCAAATCGGCTCAGTCAGCTCTGTATTTGGCTTGATAAGCTGAGCAAACGGCTGGGCTTTGTCCAGTGTGGTGCATCGTAACCAATCAGCAGGATATCAAAATGCTGTTTACCAGTATGTAAGTCCACTCATGGCTCGCACACAACACCAATCTACCGCGGGTAGGCGTAAGGTTAAGCTCCAAAGTGAACATGCGTATGGAGGAGATCTTCAATGGCAAAGACAAGTGAATAATCTGAAGTGGAATGGAGCCTACTTCGTTAAGGGCCTGCGAAACAATCTTCTCCCCACGAGGGTGGGACGACTGTACAGATAGAAGGTCTGTGATAATTGATTACAATGAGACAGACGTATCAAGATGGAGCGAATTGATGACAAGGGTGAGTGAGCTGGAAGGTGAAGCCTGAAGACCCAGAAGCTTGGTGGAATAAGGTAGATTCGAATACGTGCGTACCTTGCATTGACGATGGCTAAGGATAGCCGCCGAGTGAGCCAGTCAAGTATTAAGATGAAGGTAACTTCGTTAAGGCAAGGGATGCTGCGTGATATTCGGGTAACCTCGTGGGTGAGTGAACCTCGACTCGCCCTTGAGCCATGCGCCATCAGATCCAACCGCTTGGTGCGCATAAACATTGGGGATTCAGTAAAATGCGAAGGCGATGGCGACGGCGACATTAAGATGGATGTGTGGGGAGGCGAGCACTGCCAAATGACATGCGATGCGCAAACACGCGATCCGTCGTTTGAGGAGCGAGGGGAACTCGACAGTCCGGTCTCGCAGACACTGCCCGCCAACCAGTCAGGTTCTGGACGGTAATTTGGAGAAATGCAGCCTGCCAAGTCAATGCAAGGGACCTCGCTGCGGTCTCAAGCGCGTAAACTAGCAGCCATCTGCAATTAATTATGCCGCAGCTCACAGGACGATCCTGTCCGTCGGAGTGATGTGGTATAGAGCCGCATTTGGACCCAAATGCACGAGGCAGAAGAACGTGGTACAGTTGACTGACTGGAGATACAAGTTACCGGTGCAGCTCCTGGTCAACAATGGACACGGAGGATGGGATGGAATCGGACGAAATCCAAATCGTTGCGGGAGGATCAGGACAGTCGACCGGTTTGGGCAGTGGTGCGGCAGCAGCTGGTCCTGGTGATGATGACAAGTCAGAACGACATGACCCCTGGACCATGTCGATACCCCGGTCTTTATCGCCTGGATGCCCAGCCCACCAGCAGGGGTATGAGGTGTTTCGTTTGACGGTGGCCGACTAAACGCAAAGGTAAATCGTGATGCGACTCTGTAGCTTCTGTGGTTCACTGCTGCATAAGGAAAGGGCACCTGCCCTCAATGCGGTTCGGTTGTAGAGGCTTCGAGATATTGACGATTGATTGGTGCAGGGCATGAATCGTGGAAAAAGTTGCATCTGCGTTCCACTGCGGGCGACGCCAACCACGCTCGGCACCATGCATCGCATCTCGCCCCGCAGGTGATGATTTGTGGAAGGCGTCGAGATTGGAACTGACGGCCAGTTGCCAACTTGCTTTCGGACAGCGAACGGCTGTCTGACACCATGTTGACCTTTCCAAACTAGGCGCACGCTCAGTCATTTGGTTGGAGAGATGAAGAGAGAGAAATAAGACGTGAGCTTACAGCGGGCAGATATTCGTAGATGGGGTGCATGATCCGCGGTAACCCTTGTCGAGGGGTCATCCCATCTCCAAAGACGAAGCACATGGGGTTGGGCATGAAGCTGGAGTGTTGCTAAGTTGCCGGAGCGTGCGAAGCGGGAACCTTCAGTCTTCTCGAACGAAGTGGGACACGAATTAGAGGCTTGATGCCAGCTTGATCTATCCGTACGAACCCAATGGGCCAACTAGTCTGTTGCACTGAGAGCCCGCCGGCTGCCGTTGTGCTCATGCTGATTAGATTCCTTGGAAAAGAGCGTCTGAGCTGTCGAGGAGAGAGCTCGCGCTTCAGGTGAAGTCGGGTTCGGGTATCACGTCAATCATCAGGCCGAGGGCAGATCCCAGCGTGCTTGAGAGGCTAGAGCAGCTAGAGTGGCTAGCAGAGATTTGCATCCTTGAGACAGCAGAACATAGTAGGGTCAGGTAGAAGGTGAGTTGCAGCGATGATGTTTGGAAGAAATCACCCAATTCATGTTCCACGCGAGAAGATAAGGCATTTAGGTAAGTCAGGCAAGGAAGGAACCTTCCATTGAATCGAGTGGGCAGGTACCGGTTGGCTGAGAAGTTAAGGTAAGTGGGAGGGAAGGAGCGGATGGGAAGAATTGATAGACGAGGCAGGTGCGACATGCTGCATCTCTCCTTCCTTCTCCGCCGCCACCCGTCTCCGTCTCCTCCGTACCTTAAGATACCTTACCGCAGGTGCTTTGCCTACTTCCTCCCATGCTTCCTTCCTCTTCCCGTCCCATCCGAGTGTCGCTCGTCATTCACGTATTCTCTTAACAATAATCAAATGTACGGAGTAGGTATGTACCTACCTATGTGCGTGTCATTTGCATTGGGCCTCAAAGCTGGTTGATATCGAATTCCAGCCACTCCCTTCCACATTCACATGTACGAGGAATTGGGACACCAATCAACAGCTGCAAATTTCAGAAACGGCGCCAGCGCCGGTGCAAGTTCTTAGCACCAATATGCGCACTAGCCACACCCACAACCACGTTTCGGCTCTTGTGCAACGCCTTCCTGCTCCCGCACCTTGAGTCTTGAGGTACCTTACACAAAGGTTCAAAGCATCCTCTTGACTTACACAGGCTTCTGCACTGCTCTGGGCTGAGACGTTAACTCAGACACACCAATCCGAAGCATGCCTACCCGTCTGCGACAGTTGTCACACTGGGTGGAGGACGAGTTATCGTTCGACTACGGAGTACAACTATTTCACTAGGCAGTAGGTACTAGACACTAGACACTAGGCGTAGGTAGGCAGTTGTGGTCTCGACTCTCCCATCTGAGCCCCGCACGTCAACTCCATCTTGATACCTACCTTGGATACGAAAGGGAACATCAGTCCATTCCGGCGCCGCTGCATTGAGGTGATTATTGGGAACGAATGCCTACCTTGACCCTCGGGCCAGCTGCCGGGTGCCAGCAGAACAGGCCGAAAAAGGTCACGGAAGTTGGAACCAAGGAAAAGACCAACCAAGGGAGAAAAGAAACGACAAATTGCCCACTGGCCACAATCCGTGCCGGCCCTCTGAGAAATTGGCGGTGCTTGGACAGCCGTAAGTGAGATAATTTAACGAGACGGCATCTCCTCGCTCTTTTCTTGCTTCAATCAATACGGACCAGCCAGAGTGGTCACGGTCATCCACTCAGTTGAGGCGGAAACAGTGCTGCTTTTCTTCTCTTTCTCTCTTTCGGCTCGGCTCAATTCAGCTCGACGGAATCCTACCTCAAGCTACCTCGCCTTCCCTTGGCCTCGATCTCACCTCACATCCAGCCAAAGTACCTCGCAGCACGCAGTATCTTACTCTGACACCTGCGCCTCTCCTACGACGTCCATTACTTGCAGTGTGCAGCGCGAGGAGTGTCATAGACGAAGCAGGAAGCAATCAGTCGCGGTTGCATGTCGCAGTCGCAGTAGTGGCAGCGTTAGCGGATATTAGCGAGTATCTGGTACCTGCATTCCGTCCCTAGTTGCATGTACCGCACCTGCTCCCTATTTCCCGCTTTTCCCCCCTGAGGCCCACGCACATCTCCGCCTTCACTTTCCCTGGGCGGTACTTACAAGTTGCATTGCACCTTACCCCTGCAAGTACACGATACCCCCTGGGGCCTACCTTGGTACGGAGTACGTGGTAAGGTATTCGACCAGGGAATCTCTCAATCGCGCGCTTTCTCTGCTGGCTCTGCGTCTGCCTTTCTCGCGCCCGCCGCCCGCTCACTCACACCCACTCTCTTGACGTCTCTGCTCTCTTTTCGAGACTGACTGACTGACCGGCGACCTGGAGCTTGTCTGTTCCAATTCTTGCGCTTCCGTTCCTCGTTGCGCGCGCTGTTCCAAATATCGGGTGCACTCAGTCTCCAACCTTGGACCAGCTCCATCCAGCTCGTCCCAAGTCTCATCTCTACAATTTTATTCTGACGAGCACGAAGACGTCTGACCGTTCGTTCCTCCTAACTATCTCTCTTCCTCTCTTTCTCTCCCTCGCCGAAAAAAAAAAAAAGCCAAGACGAGGCCCATTCCCAATCCCGCCTGTCTCTCTTCTCTCATTCTGGACTGGTTCGCCCTCAATTGCCCTCCACATCTCAACTCCCACCGCCTCTCGCTCCCAAAGTCCAACTTGGGCTCTCACCGCGCATTACCTCATCCCGCTTGTACCTGGATTCGCTGCACCAACGTCTCCGTTTGGCCTGCGTTGGCCGTGTCTGGTGTTGTTTTTCTGACCGGCGATCCAACTCGCTCCGATAGTCTGCCTCTAGTTTCGAGCCCGCCGAGGTAGAGAAGCGCGCCATCGACAACTTCAACCGTCGACAAGAAAGCCTACAATCAGACTCGGGCCTCCCGCACTCATTATCGTCTTACTCTTCTCGATCTGCTGGCGATAGCTCCCTCTGATCGTTCGAAGCCAGACCAGATAAGACTTGAGTGGCTCGGTAAAAGGGAATTGGTTCCTATCAAAACATACTGGTTTCCGACCGCCATACTGCATCCAGCCTGCCTCTTCATCCTCGACTAGGGTCACCTCACCGACACACACGACTGACTGGAACTGGAACTGTTTTCCTACCGCCCATTCTTCCTCCTGTCTGCACCCCCGTCTGGTCTCAGACGGTGTCAAAGGACATAGGTTCAAAGCCATAGGTATCAATCCGTCGCACAGCCTTTCACCACAGTAGAGTGTGTACGTGCACCACTGCCCCTTTGTCGCGTCACTGTTCCCAGTGTTGTTGCTGCATTGACTCGACTCGATTTTACCGCCCCAAAACGATCGTCGCCGACAGATTTCGTCAGGGTCGAGCTACAGTAAACAACAAATCGCAACCATCAGCCAAGGGGGGGAAAGAAAACAATTGACCCCTTCCGCCCACACCATGAGATAGACTGGCCCAATTCATTGGTACACCAGACACTCACAACACGGCCTATCCAAGGACCCTAATACCTCCAATCGGGCTTGTCCGTCCCATACCAATTCAGGGCGAATTAATTCCTGCAGCTCAATAATTCCAGCGTCCTGAAACCTGGTGCCCAGCGAGCAACTTTACCTCGCTGAACAGCATTCGCTTACGGACCTCTTTCTCGCTTCTCAATTCTCCGCCAACATACCAGCCTCCCTTGACCCCCTTCCAAAACGCACCAACATCGCAGACCGACATCTTAGCGACAATCGCGGGACCAAAACACGCCAGACTAGGACCGCCGCCCAGTCGAACTCTATTTCCTTGCGCGCTTGCGTTTCCACTGTCGCAAAAGCATGTCCTCTGCCGCTTTGCAGCCTGCCCATCACACATCAGCTTTGGCATCACCGCCTTTGGTTGCAGCCTCACCGAGTAGCCGGCAGTACACGTCGAACCACTCTTCCCCATCTCGCGAGGCGTACAATGCCAATTTGCAACACAACTTTGCCTCTCCTGCATCGTCACAACGCCCTCCGAGCCGACCGAGCGGAAACGGCGCGTCTGTAAACACTCAGGACTCAACTTCGCCCATGACGTCCCGAGTTGTCCCCGCCAACCCCGTCGCCGTCGCGCCCTCTTCCCCAGACTACCAATCCTCATCCTCCGAACAACGAAGAAACATGCCACCAGTCGCCCCCCCTCGGACGTCCTCGACGAATTACTCGGGCGCTACTACCACTACGACCACCACAAAAAGACGCGATCACGCTGCCGAGAAGGCGGCATCGTCACCGCGACGCGGTCAAGCAGACGGAACGAATGGTAATGTCGATTATACCTACTCGGACGACGGTTCTGCTTCACGCAGCAGAAGATCGCATCAACAAATGCCTCCTGATTCTCCCCACCGATCGAGCGGCAACCGGCCTGGGAGTCAGCCGACGGTGATTCCCGTACGATCGCATGCACCTCAGACAACAGCATCCCCAAAGCAGCCCACGCGCGAAGCAAGCGAGGTTCTCAATCGAATGGTGGTCTCTCAGCCCGAAGTAGACATCGCTCGCGAGAAGGAACGACTAGCAGAAGCTCAGTCTACCCGCATAGGATCATCACATGATGACGCCGCACCTCCTCCGATCGGTATGTCCGAGCATGATGACAGCAGACGTGGAGGTAGAAGCCGTCATGATCATTCCGGGAAGCGTGAGAAGGTGGTCAGATTTGGCGACTACGTTCTTGGAAATACCATCGGCGAGGGCGAGTTTGGAAAAGTAAAACTTGGCTGGAAGAACGATAACAATGTGCAAGTAAGTTAATGACCCGCTGATATGCCTTGAGATTCTTGCTTACAGTTCATCACCAGGTCGCTATCAAGTTGATCAAGCGGGATAGTGTCGGCAACAACCCTTCCAGATTGGCCAAGATCTATCGCGAAATTGCGATTTTACGGGGCATTTCTCACCCTAACATCGTTCGCCTTCACGAGATGGTCGAAACCGAGAGGCACATTGGTATCATTCTCGAATACGCCTCTGGTGGTGAGCTGTTCGACTACATCCTGAACCATCGCTATCTGAAGGACAATGCCGCGCGAAGGCTGTTCGCCCAACTAGTGTCTGGTGTCGGCTATTTGCACAAGAAGGGCATCGTTCACAGAGATCTCAAGCTGGAGAACTTGCTTTTAGACCGGAACCGCAACATAATTATCACCGATTTTGGTTTCGCCAACACCTTCGATGCCGAGGAAGAGCTTTCCGAAGAGGAGGAGCTCAACCTCAGCGACCGTGACTTTGTCAAGAAATTGGGACTGGATAGAGTCAAGACCAATGGCACAAGGAAGGGCGATTTGATGCAGACTAGTTGCGGCAGTCCCTGCTATGCTGCGCCAGAGCTTGTTGTGAGCGATTCTCTATACACTGGCCGCAAGGTTGATGTATGGAGTTGCGGTGTAATCTTGGTTAGTGGCGAGTTTCCCAGCGCAAGCCTATTTGGAAGCTGACCAGAGTTTAGTACGCGATGTTGGCTGGCTACCTTCCCTTCGACGACGATCCAGCGAACCCCGAAGGCGACAACATCAACTTGCTGTACAAGTACATTGTCAACACGCCTCTGACTTTCCCCGAATACGTCACTCCTCATGCTCGCGACCTTCTCAGGCGAATCCTTGTCCCCAACCCCCGGAAAAGAGCAGACTTGTTCGAGGTGGCTCGGCATAGCTGGTTGAGCGAGTACGCTCATGTCGTGGAGTTCATTACTAGTAGCACCACCACACCCAACCAGATCCAGAACACGACGGTGCCCTCCGAAGACGACGACTTCGCAGAGGCATCTGGCATCGGACGAAGCGCCTCGGTTCGCGAATCCTCCAAGACGAAAGCCAACACCCCGACATCGGTGGGAGGTCTCGCCAGCAAACACGCCAAGATCGACGCCGACGCCGAGGCAGCAGCTATTGCCAAGGCGCACAAAGATAACAAACGTCGCACGGTGCAGGTAGAGTACGTGGCGCCGACGACACAGACACAAAGAGGAGAGGCTGCTGCAGCAGGAAGTAAGTCGAGAGCGCGTTCGAGCAGCCAAGGTCCAGTAGAGGTTGCGGAGAATCAAAACTCCCAGGAGAAACCCCTTCCTAGAGATCCCCCTGTCTCGAGAGATTCGTACAGAGCCAGTCGACAAGGCACGCGCCCTCCTAGTGCCCACCGCAATACTGCAGCCGCACCCTCGAGACCGACTCGCGACACTCGTACGACCTCTGATAACGCCTTCACGCCTTCAGGATCAGCTGCACAGGCTTCTGGAAGACCTCAAACTGGCGGCTCAATGGCATCAGGCTCAATGGGACTGGGAGCTGGAGCTCGTGGATCGTACGGCCAACCAATCCCCCCGGCCGTCGCAGGTACTAATGCTCATGGAAGGATTCAACAACCCACTACCCAGGATTCCCAGGCTATGGGACGACCCAGCGTCAGCGTGCCGCCAAAGTTTGCCAAGGTTGCCGGGTTCGCCCCAGAACAACAAGCCGCTCAGAGCCAGACGCCTCCTCAGTCAAGCGATGGCAGAGGCCATGGTCACAAGCGTTCCAACACCATCGGCTCCCTACTGGGTCGGAACGGGTCAATCTTTGGGGGTAAGAACCGCAAGAGACCTGAATCTCAGATCGCAGACAAGAGCCGAAAGTACCCTCCAGTCAGCATGCCTAACAACATGCCTGCTGACGGTCAGCCCCGCCCTTCGATAGACTCGAGAGCCTCACGGCGATCCTTCTCTTTGGGTCTCGGAAAGAAACGCAGCGGTAGCATCACTGGCTCCCAGACCTCCCACGAGAAGCAGAATAGGCGATTCTCGTTGATCCCGCAATCATTCTCGCTGAAGGCTATTGGCATTGGCAGAGACTACGATCGTCCGCCGTCTGAGCCCCAGTCTCAACCCGACCTTCCCATCCAAGATCCCCCTGAAGTTGACGAGCATGGAAGATACGTCGACTCACGGGGACAGTCTCGAGGTTATGATGGTGGATATGACCAGGGTTACCGACAGCCGCCAGGCTCTAGCTCTGCTCCCCAGTTGTCACGTCAAGAGTGGCAAGATCAACAGCAGCAGCAAGGCTACCAGCAGCAACAGCCGCAGCAACAACAACAGCACGTGGGCCCGATTGGTCAGCCTAGTGCAGTACCCGCCTACATGCAGCAGGGTACTGGCCTAAACACCGGGTCGGAGTCTTCATTCGAGAATGCTCAGAACCGAAGACACACTGGTGCTCCATACAACGCCAGCGGATACTCTGAGTCTGAGGGTTATGACGGTCAGCAGTTCGGCTCGTCCCGCGGGAATGGCCGGTCTGGCGTGCTGCAGAAGAATAAGAGATTCGAGAGCGCAGAGTACGGTGGCCATCAAGGCAGCAGCGGAGCCGCCAAGAGAGTTATGGACTTTTTCCGCAGACGCGGCAAAGCGAGAGGTGGCGACGACAGGTAGAACACTCTCGAAGCCCTCGACTGCTCGCCATCTACCGGTTCAGGATCCCGGCCCTTGTGCGGGCCCCGGTCATCACAAATGAGTCTGTCCCCGACACGCCCAGTTGAGCGGTGACGACATTGTCTATAGGACGGTGCGCGCCTCGTCTTTTGAGATTTTTGAGGTTTTAATGTGTGAATACCAGCAAGCAGGACACGTTGGTCGCTTGGCATCGTTAGTGGAAGTTGATGGCCTGCTGCATGGTTGGCGAAACTGGCATAGAATGTTGAGAGGAGTTCTTTTTTTTCCACAGTCCTCTCTCGTGTAATCAGGGAAGTTTGGTGGTGTTTATTGCGTCGGTTCATGGGATGGGGGGTTGTTCAGATACAGAGAAGGCTTGGTGGTTTTTCTTCCCTCACCCCTTTTTCGAAAATGGGCCTTTTTTTTATTCTGGTTGGTTTAACTTGTTCATTTTCCCTCTAATTTGATGGCATCACGTCGGTAATCGATTGAGGTTGCTGGCGGCGGCAAAGGCGTATGGGAATACAGAAGTAGAGAGAGTGAGAGTGAGAGAAATTCAGAGAGCGAAGAGAGAGAGAAGAACCGACGTGTGAGTTGTTGACGTTATTGTGTGATGAAAGTTGAATACTGTAGTGAGTGAGTGGCTGGCTGGCATCGACTGGCTGGTTGCGGATGTGCATTGTTTAGTATGGAAGCATATTCAAGCTACATTGAATGGGCAACGTATGGTCTCCTGTGAGATGTTGAATTATTGAGTCAGGTAGAATGAAGCGCAGTCCGTTGAGCATATGCTTCTCCGTAGAAGAGGGAACAAGTATAGAAGAAGGCATATGTCCATTTTAGGGAAGCCCAACATCGGACACCTGTAATTTTTCCACCGTGTGATAGGGAACAAGTAGCAGATGAATCACTCCCACAAAGCGTCAAGTGGAAGCTGAGAGCCCGCAAAGTTCGCAACTACCCTCATCGGATCTGGTACGCTGATGATGACGGGATGGACCGCAAAACGAGATCTTGGTCTTGGCGATGGGAACTGTACGAAATTTGTGAGGGATGTTTCCGTAGCCCGGATGATTTTGCCTCGCATTTTCTGGCTCCTGATTTCTTGCCAAATAGTCACACGCCGTGATACTGTCATGACGCACGCCTGTGAGTCCGTGACAATCGTTCACTTGGTGCGACTGTCCATCACCCTTTCGACGCGACGCTCCGACGTCAAGGAGACTTCGACGCTGGAGTCTGGACGCTCGCAAACGGCCCACTTTGGTCTATGGAGTAGTGGTAATGCGGACGTCCAGTCACGGCATCACCTAGTGCGGTACCTCAGATAAGTGTGGCTGTTCGTGGCGCAGCGATCACGACTGCTACTGGGACACTACCTGAGTCGAATCTGTACGGAGCATCCGTACGGGACACAAACGCACAGCCACTACCCGCCAATGGGCCGGTGCCACAAAACGTCAACAGGCCTCCCAAGAAAACTTGACGTCACTCTCGGCACGTGTCGGCCGGCTTGGTATAGATCTGTGGCGCTCCTATTGGCTTATCCGTGGGGCATCCACCTTCGATAGTACTACGTATAGGTACGTATATCACTATCAAAAGCATCGATGAAATATCCATACACTACTAGCTTCCCAGGCTGGCAGGTAATTACTTGTAAGAAATGATGTAGGATTGGTCGGCCGGCATTTAGCACAAGACGCAGGTGGGAAGCTTGAATTTCGTTTGAACGAACCCCTGTTCGTTCGGCGCAACGACCAAAAACGAATTGTCCTTGGATGGGCAAACATAGGATGTAGGATGATGTTTTGGATGACGCGTCTCGGCGCCCGTACGCACAATTGGTTGTGAGTTTGATCAGCTTCTTTTGAATTTCAACGGCTCTGTATCTTTCTCGTCTCCGGTAGCAAAGGGCACATTCAGTATACGTATTGTACGCATTGGGCCTTCTAGAGCGGAAAAAAAGAAGAAACAGGGGTAGAACAGAAAAGGATGTATCGTGCTGTTGTTGTTTCCAGTTGTCGAAATTAGGTTGTGACAAACGGGAAGAGAAACGGTCTAGCCGGTAGGGGAGAGGAATTAGGTTGGACGAGAGAAGGGAAGGCGCAGCGGAAGGGAGGGAGGGGGGCATTGGATGGAAACGAAAAGTGCCGGGAACCTTTTGAAAATGCAAAAAGGCGATGAGCAGGAACAAGCAGAACGTTCGTCAAATCGGCCGGGGGTGAAGAGAAAGCTTTGGGAAGTTTGGGAGCGGTTCCCCGTGCGCTCTTTGAAGCCCCGAGCGCCAGCTTTTGCAACGGCCCTCGACCGTTTGGGGCTACTTGATGGAGCGGTCATGGACTCATGACTCTTGCAACGGTATATCCATAGCTTGAATCTTTCTGAGAGGTCAACAGCGGTACGGAGTATATGCCAAAGGATATGGATGCAAGGTGATTTTGGACCAAGTTGCTCTGTTTTCGACTTCGCAAGAGGAGTGTATAGCCGGGCGGAATGCAACTCTGCAGTCTACTACGCTGGAGCGGAGGAGGATCGTCTCGCGTAGAGGTACCTGGACCACGTGTGTCGTCGAGAGAGGTGCCAGCCACTGAGGTTCGAGGGTGATCCCCGACTGATTGATAAGGCAGATTTGGCAGGAAGGCGGCAGGCCGGCTGGCTCCAGAGTTTTGGGACATCAAAGTTATGGATTATCCATATCTCGAATTGTGCGACTGTGAAATTCCCCGGCCGGTATGTTACTTTTCGATAATGACACGCGGGGTCGACTGCCCGGCCCGGCTTCTTCTTGATCCCCTTTGATGAGGCTTCTTACAGTTTTATCGACAACGAGGGCGACGAGAACGAGAAACGCAAAATGCGCGACTGCATGATCTGAAAAGCAAGAAAGATGGGGTCCGGAATCCGGTTCATGTTTCGAGATTGTCTCTACCACGGAACCCATCATCTGTAATCGGTGTCCTTGGCGATGCTTGGCGCACGTTGCGAGTTGAGCCGGGGATGCAGAGGAGCAAGAGCAAGAAGGAGAGTCCCAAAGTCCAGGAGTCCGTCGTGGCTCGGTTTCTGAGTAGAGCACAGAGTACGAATACACCGAAAGAGAGAGAACTGTGTGAAGAATCAGTGAGGGTGAGGCTCGAGCGAGAAGATTGTTCGCTTGATCTCCGTCCGGTAGAATGCCCCATTTCGGCCTTCCAACTTCGGCCCTCGAACAATGCTAGTTTCTGGTTTTTTGGACGGTGTGTGTCAATGTGGCGTAGGTTAATTCATCAGAAACTGCTGCTGTAAAGTGCTTCAAGGCTGTAGTTGCGTTGAGCTCGTCCACCTCTGCTGCGGACCTAGCCTGCGTACGGAGTACAGTGGTAAGGATAGAGGGTTGGGCCGAGGGTTTGGCATGGGAGGCGGCTAGGAGATTGCGAAATTGGACGCGAATATTTGCGAGTGCAACTCTGTCATTCTGTGAGGCTCAGCTGGCCTGTCCGGGCGGAGCGGAGGGAGAGGGTGGTCCTCTGCTGGGAGGAGAGTGCTAGCACCTAGGGGAGTCAGAGGGGGAGGGATGGAAGATTGGAAGAGGAACTCCATCCCACTTTCCGTCAAGTGTAAGTCGAGTCCCCTGCCCCTCCCTGCCTGCGTGAAGGTTAATGCTTATTAGTGTGTATCCACTGTGGCTCGACGGAGCCAATGGGTTCGAGGTTACTGATGAGGCGGAGGATGGGCGGTAGGTAGTTGTTATGGTCCTTTGTTGAGAGCGGGAGTCTACAACTAGAGACCGACTGACCGATTGACCGAGGGAGGGACGGGACTTGGGGGGAGGCAAAATGGCGAGGTCCGATAGGGCAGAGGCCTCCTTTCCCTGCAGCGAGTTGATGAGGTGTGATATCATTGTTGTTGTGTTGGACCTGGGCCTGCGGGTGGCGGTAGTGGTGATGATGATGATGATGGAAGAACAGTGACAGCATGTGCATGCATTTGGATTTCAGGATTTCAGGATCCAGATTCCAGACCCCGTACTACGGAATACGTCCTCGGTACAGAAATGGTGTAGTAGTTTGCAGTGTAGGTAGCCAAGAAGGCCAAGGGGAAGAGGCCCGTACCCATTTCCATGGCAAAAGCTTGGTTTATTGGTGCAACCCCGGGCCCAGAACTCTGATGTGATGTGGATGCGGATGTGCTGGATTGTCTCTGTTTGAAGCTATGCTCGTGCTTGCTGCTCATCCAACCAATGACTTTGGATGTGTCCCGCAGTGATGATTGCAGATCCCAAGAGGTCCAGTTTCTCAGAAAACAGGAGACGGCAATGCAAATAGCAGCAAATGAGAAGAGAAGAGAAGCTGGGGATGACGAAGTACCGGGAGTGGGATAGACAAAGAGGCAATGGGGGAAAAAGCTGAGGCTTAGTGACCATAGTGACCTTGGGAGATGGAGAAATTGTGGGCGCGCCACACCAGCCTGAGGCACATGACCAGCGGCCTCTTACTGGATCTGGTTGATTCACGGTTCATCCACCCAAGACATTTTGCACCAAGGCGATTGGCCCCAGACCAGCCAGGCGCAGTGACAGGGAGCCCTTGCTTTGCTTGTTTCCCGGCGGGCCCTGCCATGCCTGCTTGTTTTGCGTATCAGAGAGACAGAGACGGTGAATACGTACCTACCTCAAGGCCAGAGACGATGGAAAGTGCAAGAGCGTCCTTGCAGCGGTAAACTTCCCCGTTCCCGCCGTCCCAACGTCTCGGAGGTACCTGCTTGCTCGCCGCGGCAAGGTTCCATTGTACCTACCGTCACCCATGCTACCTTCCCTCTCCTATCCTAAGGTGTCGGTGTCTACCTTAGGTACGTACTTACGCAACTGCACCAGAGCTAAGGGTACGTCTCTTCCCGGTCCGTGTCTGTCGCCTGGGACGTTGCCTCTACCTTATCCCCCCCATGTCTATCTCTTAGTCGATTCGACCTTTAAAGCATCCCTCATCTGTCGTCGTCCGACCACATTCCCCTTCTAGTCTTCTTCTCTCCTTGTCCGTACTTATTCTCCTCCCGAAGCTTGTCTTCACTTTTGCGTCTCTAAGAAACTTCATTGTGTGCCATCGCCAAAAACACTCTACTCTTTCCCCAAAGAAAACCGCGCTCCAGCCGAGACACGAGTGTCCGGTCATCTATTTCGATGAAGAAAGCCTCCTCTGATCCCCCCAATATAGACACCATACGCTCTGGCGCAGCAGGATCAGCGCATGGCGTCCGTCACAGCTCCTCGAACCGATCCCACGGCAATTCGGCAAACATAGTCACCGACTCAATAGACTTGTCCAGCAAGTCTTCTCTTCCCGCTACCCAGCGCAATAACACGTTCGACACCACGGCTTCCACTACCAATAGCAGTAATGGCGTCGCCAACGGCGTCTCCTCTCACATCACCAGCTCTTCTGCGAGCAACAACCTCACCCTTACATACCCGGACGACATCAATGAGAAAACAAGTCCCCGCGACCTCGAGGATGTTGCTATATCTTCGAAAACTTCGCGGCAGGGGGCTGTCGTAGACGAGGAGGGTGCTTTGAAGAAGAATCAAACTCCCGAACAAAAGCAGAAACCTGGCGTCTTTGCCCGCTTCTACCTCACGTGTAAGATGATCCTGTTCCACAGCTGGGTCAACGTGCTCCTCGTCTTCGTACCCGTCGGCATCATCACAAAAGCCCT